TTCAAAGGTGACTATATATCGAAGATTTGATGACAGAGAATTGCAATACCTATATAAAACACACAGAGGGACATGTTTATTCAGTAACAAAGGCCATTGACCCACAATAGAATAATACTAATATTTAAATATCCTACACACAAAGGTCTTAAATAAGTGTTTTCTCATTTCTCATTGTTAACGTTTTAGTTAAGAATAAACTCATGTTAAATATAACAAGTCTCTCTGATGAATTCATAAGGTGGATACATTTTTCAGTTATGAATACACAATGCCATTTATAAAGTGGTCAAATGTAACAAGACTCAACCACAAAAAATACGAGAATCTGTACTTTACTAAGAAAGTGTTATCCCAAATATGACATTTGTTACATTTTGCAATTGTTGGAAAATCTGTATAAAATGGATTTTCATGTACATATTGCTTTATGAGCTGAGAGTATCCTTCACATCCTCATCACATGGTATTCAGCTTCTAAAATCGTCTTATTTTTCTTCAAATCGAATTCGCAATATTTTTCATCATGAGGAACATTATCGTGTCTTCCAATCTCAACATATAATCCAAAATTATTACATCTAAATTTTGATACATGCCTCTTAATATAATGGGGTATGTTTATTGTTAGACATGATTCATTGTTATTATTTTCAGAGTAAAATAACAAAATGCAGCAAAGAGGGGTTTGGGTGATCCTGGCACAGTCAGGCTGGTTTGGCTCATCATCAGCTCAGGGCCCTCGCCCCCTCTACACGCAGCCCAGACAGTGAATGGGACTTCTCCCAGGAAGCGCTGCCTAGTCAAACTCACACAGAACCTTTCGGAGAATGTGAAGACTCCCCAACACTGCAGCCTTCTGCATTACCCAGATTGTCAGAAGGGCTGTATTCCAGGTAGCAAACCCGGGTACTCTCCCGATGTCAGTCAACAGACTGGGAGGTACCTAAACTAAGGCACCGAGAACAATGGGGAGTCGGACAAGTTGGTACTTGCGCGGCAAGCGTCACATTTCGAAAGCGAGATCCGTATATTTGCCATGTTTTTCCTCAATCTTTTCAATCACATTAGTGTCAAAGGGGACAGAAAATTCAATGATATAAATGATTTCATTGGTTTTATCAAAAAGGACAAGATCAGGTTTGTTGGCCTGGAAACGTCTAAGGCTGTAAGTGGGCCTTTTCCAAAGAATTTTGTATTTATCATTTTCTATGACGCCCTCTACATATTCTGGGTCGTACCATGGGTGGACCTCTATGTCAAAACCACAAGCATGGCGAAGACGGTAATAAAACGATCGAGCTACACCATCATGTCGTCGTTTAAGATACTGTGTTTGTGCCAAAATTGGGCATCCACTGACAATGTGTTGGACAGTCTCATTCAATTCATTACATAATGTACATTTCATATTTACATTTTGATGCAAAATCACACATTGACGGTTTCGAGTGGGAAGTGACAGCAAACAGAAAGCCTTCAGTTTCCTTTTTCAGGCCAGGCGACTTCATCCAAGCGAAGGACTCTGCAGGATTGCTGATCTTTATGCACACTGCACATAAACTCGATGCAGTGGTCGTTCAGAAAGCCTCTCCTTGAAAAACTGATTATGGGCCGACTTGATATGTCACTTCGCTTGGTTGACACTCATTTCTGCAGTGCAGAACCATCAACAAAATCAACATCGACATTGAGATTATGTCCTACATCCTTGGCTCGTTTTAGAAAACTGTGGAATGCCTTGTTTTCATCATGAGTCTTGACATGCTTCACAAGAGGATCATCAGACAAATAAATGTTTGCAAAAGTGCACAAAACAAATTCTATCATGAAGAGCCCCAACGTTAATCAAACTACGTCCTCACATAATGATTGGTAAATATAAGCGATTGAGGGAAGAACGAGGGTGGTGGGATCTATTGTCTGACATGATTCTTCGTGTGAGGGTGTCATTACCCCGACAACACCCTATTTCTTCTTTCATCCAATCAACAACACCAAAAGAATATGAAAGGACGGGTACAGCATAAGTATTTGTGGCTTTTACTTTATTGCGAGCTTTCAGCTCTTAACTCCAGATTTTCTAAAGTCTACATTTGTACTGTGCCCGAAGTTTTTCCTTGATATGGGCATTCTGGAGTTTGTCCCTAATCTGCATCCCTAAGTACGTGTAGGCCTGACCTTCCACGAGATGGTCAATAACTCCTCCTCCAAGTTAACTGACTGATCCTCCCTCTTGTACCTTGCCAGATGAAGAATATTGCATATGTTGAGTCCAAAGGACATGCCGATATCATTAGAAAAGGACTCGGCAAGGAGAATCTGGTTGTTGTTTTTATTGTGGATCCTCCATTAGCAATAAGTTCAATGTCATCCATGTAAAGGCGGTGAGTAAGGGGTATTGGGGATCTGTGCTGAGGAGGTCCAGGATGATAACCTTCCTCTTTGCTAAGCAAAAAGCTTAAAGGATTTAATGACAAACAGAAAAGCAAAGGACTGAAAGAATCGACCTGAAATATTCCTCGTCTAGTAGAAATAGGTTCAGAAGTCACCACCTGCCCATGCGAATACATCTCAAGTTGAGTTCCAGCAATTCATTAAAGACTTGAGTAAAACAAGTAGTCGCACGGGGAGGTCAATACATTTCAGTGACTTCAAAATCCATTCGTGAGGTACAGAATCATAAGCTTTTCTGTAGTCTATCCAACACATTGAGAGGTTACGGTGGTAAGTTTTTAGCCTCTTTAAGGATCAATTTCTGAACCAGCAATTGATCCTTACAACCCCAACATCCCTTTCTGGCTCCTTACTGCTCCATGTAGATAATGTCATTCGAAGCGCAGTACGATGACACGAGATCTGTAAGACACCCTGTAAATAGTTTGTACTGTGTGTTAAAACAAGTAATTGAGCGGAAGTTTTTAGGGTCAGTCAGATCACCTTTCTTTGGGAGAAGTATTGTTCGCCCTTTGCAGAACCAAGGCGGAACATCCCCTGCATCCACAAGAGAATTAAAACAGTGAAGTAATGGCGTTTGGACACAAGGGAACAGTTTCCAATACCGGTTTCGAATACCGTGATATGTATTGTTCATAGTAGTTCCACGTCGATGATGTTCCAAGGATGATATTAATTGTTGGAGAGCTTCGTTTAATTTCACATAAAACATATCAGCATTTCCCATGTTCTGCTGAATCCAGACTACACCAAATCCAAGGCGAAATACAATATTCTTAATTGAAGTAACCCATGTGTGTCTTCCAGCAGCATCAATAGATTTAAGCATAATGTAATGTATGGTAGTCTATTATTGTTGAGGTAAATTAATTTACTCCGGTATTTTATTGCTATTGTCATGTAAATAAATTGTCAACCAGTCTGCCACACTTTCCATGTTATTACCATGTTGTTAAAAGTATTCTTCTACAGAATAAAGTCTGCATATTTTCAATTGAATTGTAATATGAACTTCCCAAGATTTTAGAACCATAACACTATATTGGAACTATCATACCGTCAAATATTTTGAAGTTGTCTTCGTATCACAAATACCCATATTTCTTTTGATAATTATTGATGTTGATGAATGATTTCTTGCCCTGAGAAGTGAGGTAGCTAATGATTTTACTCCATGATAATTTGGGGGTAAAAACAATCCCTTAATATCTGTAAAAGTTAACAACCTCAAGACGTGTGCCTTTTATATTCATTGCTCACAGTTCCTTAAAACATTTAATTTAATTTGTAATTGTAAAGCAGTATCTGCATATAGAAAAGCCAAAGTTCTTGCAAAATCAGCCGCTATAAAGATGGCTTCCTCCCCATTCCTTTCCAGATCAGATATTAATTCATTTGTTAAGTTTACCAATAATGTGGGGCTTAAGAACCTTCCCTGACGGGTTCCTACGTCGCACTAAAGTAATCAGATAAACCGGTTGGAGTCCTTACACATGCTGATAGATTTGAATACACACATACAGGTAATTTGACTTTAAGACCTACTCTTCTGAAACTCTTTAATAAAACTTCATGATTAACTCTATCAAATGCCTTTGAAAAGTCAAAGAAGATGATGTAAAATCTAATCTAAAGTTTTGGCGAGATATTTTTGTATGCCAACATTATTACCCCTTACATATAGTTCAAATTTGTGGTACGTCGTCCTGTGTACAAAGCACAAGTCATAAATCAGGCGACGTTAAGCAGCGTTGGTCATGCGGAGTGAATGGGTGGATGATCGTGTTTGGCAGCTTGACTTGTGCGAGTTTCGGGGGCTTTGGTCCTGCCAAGCATTGAAACACATATTAAGAGACGGTAATGTGCACTTTCAGCAAGCTTCAATGGGTGGATTTGGCGCAATATACGTATACACATTAAGTATGCTATTACGTATTGTCCCGGGCTGTAACACCCATGCACGTATACAGTTCACATTGTCCTGAAAAGTGCACATGCTTCCATTGCTTTTATATGGTTGACATTGTCTCGAAAAGAGCTATTGGTAAGGCAGGACATACTCACCCTGAATGCGAACACCTGGTCTTATGATTGTATACTTGTAAGGGTGTACCTGTATGGAAGCACTCTCTTGGAGAATGAGAACTATTATGTACAATGGGACAATGTAAACTACATGCACGTATACCAAGCACTGTCTGGGACAATGTGAACTATTTGCGTGTGTGGGAAGCACTGGCGGTGGAAATGGGAAGTGGAATACATGTATAGGAAGCACTGGCTGGGACAATGTAGACTATATACATGTATCGGAAGTACTGTATGGGGCAGTGTGATCTATACACTTACAGGAAGCACTGCTCGGAACAATGACATGTGTATGGAACATGTATTGTCAGAAACAATATGTATCTAGAACCTGGATACTATGTCATGGTACCAAACATTAACACAAATGTGAAACGTATCAATGTGCCAATGAGCCTACCAAACGGTTGATGAGTGACATTAAACCAAGAAATTAAGAGACCATGAAACAGAAATGCAAAAGAGAAGGTGTTTATTACAAAATAAGTTGTAAAACAAACAAATACAATTCAATGTGATACATGTTAGAATACAAGTATTATTCAATATTGTTTCTATTAAACACGATATATGAATTTTCACACATAATGAGGGGCGGTCGGGTAGCCTAGCGGTTAAAGCGTTCGCTCGCTTCGATTCCCGACATGGGCACAATGTGTGAAGCCTATTTCTGGTGTCCCCTGCCGTGATATTGCTGGAATATTGCTAAAAGCGGCGTAAAACCATACTCACTCACTCACTCACACATGATCACATATATCAATAGTTGTTTTTAGCACAACATCAAAAAATATATTATACAATATCATACAATGACATGAAATGAAAAACATCTCTTTTATAGATCTGTGAAATAGTGCAAGTCATACATGAAGTATATGTTTATGCTCTTATGTGAATAAATTATACAATACCATAAACATATACTGCCAATATTAACCTAAGAAAAATTGGACATCATACAATGGCTACTTGTATACCATCATTAAATACTTTGATAGTGTCACTGATTTTATCTGATATTTCAGTTCATCATTTCAGCATTATTAGTGAAATGCTATACCTAAATGTACTTACATATTTAGTATCATGACAATTTAACAGAAATGTCAAAAATGTAATGTGTTCGGTGATTTATGGATCTTACAAATCAGGACCAGTAGTGTTGGCTATACATGTTGGAACACCTCATACGAAGAAAATATTATGTTAAAAGTTTTCGGAGCTTTTTGTCCAACCTAAGGGCAGGCCAAGAAACTTCTCATCTCCGCCATTTGGTTAAATCAATTGTTGGAAGATCGTTGCAGGATATCATAGGATTGCTGTAAAATACAAAAATGTATTATCCCATTAAAATATCAACATTTCCGTGAGCATACCTCATATGATCAGGTTTGCCATTCGTATCCTATATAACTGAATGAGCCTTAACATGTCATATTCAAAGTGTGGCACGTGCTGTACATGGATCCAGGATACAATTCTGATTACTGTACACTGATATACATTTTGACATATCACGTGACAACATGTAACGAAATACGCCAAATATACTCTGTTTCTTGTTTTAATGCATTCTGTCTGTATGAGATAATTAATTACTGATATATAATCGAGCTAGATGGCTTCATTGCCTACCTTTCGTTTGAGTACACTGTAAAAGGATCTCTTTGGATAAACTTCACTCCTGAATTCCTACAAAGAATTTTGGCAAAGCGCATTCGTCGGATCTCAGAAAGTTGTTCTAAAATAGAAAATGCCATTAATATTTATATGTACAATTACTATTGTCAGTGAATTTTGATGATTTGAATTAAAATTCACACAAACAATATTGTATAGCGTTTTTATCTTGAAGGCATGTTAATTATTTGATCAAATATTTTCTTGATGTCAAAATATGAACTTAACAAAACACACAAGCACGCAGAAATACAAACAGATTTGATCTATACCTGGTGTAAAGCCCTTTCTTGGGTGGGATGTTTCGAACCAGAATGAGTCGCCATATTTCAGGTCATGAAACTGTTGACCAATCAGACAAGCGAGGAGAGGGCCCACTGCGCCTCCATTCACGTGCTGTTCAGCTACTGCACCGGTGAAGACGTCGATGTCATCAGGGGAACTGAAGCAAGAATAAATACATGTAAGGAGATCTTGAGAAATGTCAGATAAGGGTTAAAGTATCTTTATTTTATAAATTTGTTTCACTAATTCTGTACACATATAAGAGTAAATTAAATTAGACAAACCTGTATAAACTTTTCAAAGCAGCTCCTGCTTTACCAAATATACTGTCATCAAATGAAGTCACTTTTGATAGCTGACATGCCTTGCGGAAGCTGTTGTATGATGGCAGGCCATGGTCACGACCTCTCTGAATGTTCAAGGACACGATGTCAAGGCCATTATTGCCCGACGTCTCAAACAAATGCTCAGTCATCCCACTGTTGATGAAGCGGTTGACCTCCTGATCTCTGTCCTTGAGGATGGCCTTCAGCACGGTGTCTAGATCTTTGATGACTTCAGAAGGTCTGTTGAAGAGTTCCTCTATTGGTACATGTCGATCTCCGAGGGTCAGGAAACGTGGAATGGTGGAGTGGCCGTATCTGAAGGCGGCGGTGGCAAAAACGTTGTAGATGGTGGGGTTTTGGGTGAAGTTGTACCTGAAGCTGAAGCCAGGTGTCAGTCTGTACTTCCTCATGGCCAAGGGCCCAACAATAATGGGCAGCCACTCGCGGTAGGTGACTTGTTGGATGATGGCTGACAAGATCTTTCTGGCCTCCTCAAACAAGACATCATCAGGAGTGGTCGATGGCATGACATCAGCAAGTTCTTTGACAAGACGATTGTGTTCTCGGACAAACACGGTGTGTAGCACGGCCAGACCAGGGAACACGTTCACACGGCCATCACCTGATGATGAGGTTAGTTATAGTTGACAATGTGGTGAAATAAATTATCCATATCATTCGAAATTGTACCATATAGTAATGTGTGAAGTACATTATGAACAGACTCTGAAAATATTACTACGAATACAGTAATAAGTTGTATTTACCAGCTTCAAAACACCATTCGTTGGTATTGCTTGTTCGACAGTTGCCTCGGTTGGATTCTGATAACAGGTTATCTCCCTTGGTTTTTATGTAGGCTGAAAAGTTGAATGACGACATTATTTTGTATTTACCAATTAGACTCTTAAGTATTCTGTTGAAATTTAACATATTTGTTTTATTTCGAATTATAATTCAATACAAAACTGTGTCTGACTTACGTCCTTTCCTGAGGTGATTGATTTGATTCTGACTGGGGCCGTACACGTTAGAGGCGTCCACGAACGCCGTCAGTAGGTTCAACTGTTCTCGGGTATCTGGAAGTGACATGGTTTTGAATTAAACATGGGTATATCATACAGTGTTGTTTGTGGTTTTCGTTTCTTAATAAGGTGTATTAGAAAGAGCAGATACATAATGACAGAACAATCCTATATTGAGATGAGGTACTCTACACAGCCTAGAACTCATATACTCACGCCTTCCAGGTGCTGGGGCTGATCTTTTGAACTCCATGCAGTTCTTTTGGAAATGTCCTTCATTTACTGGCATTGTGATTGGGAAACAAGGGCCGCTAGAACAGCGAAATAGCAAAAGAATTAACATGTTTTCTTGTCCCAATCAAACATTGTTATGATAATGTTTATGATATGATATAATACACAAACACATGCTTATGATGAAGTCGGAATCTTACAGTAGACTTTTATAATTATGGAAAGGGCTGTGTCCCTTTCATCCTTATTATAAGCATGTATACAATGTCGCGTAATTTCAAAGTCTATTGTTTATGATTCATTTATTTCAAATATGACGAATAGATATTTCCCCCAACTCAAACAAAATGTTTAAGCTTGGAAAATATAGAATGTTAATTGCTTACCCAGCTCGTACATCAGAATGCATCTCTCCAGGTGTGTGACCATCGCAACATTTAGATTGAACATCACCTCCAAAGAAGATGTAAAGTTAATACAAAGAATGAGATGAATGTCGTAATGATTAAAACATAATATGGATTACAAAAACAAATATGTCTGATTTTAAAATCACACTTCTGGTCACTTGATGGTCAGAGAGTATTAGCCACTTGGCACCTACCTGCATGGAGGGGAGTTCCGGTGAGGTCGTGGTCCACAAACTGGCCCCACTGCATCACCATCACCGTGTTGTCGTCAGAAGGACTGTCAACATCCGGATGTACGGCCACACTGACAGCGCGTGGACTGGGAAGTGGATTACCGTCAACGCCTCTCATTCGGGGAACGAACTTGCCTGGAAAGCCAAACCTATCCTTTTAAAGTTCACTAACGTATGGTTAGTTGTGATATTGATAAGGGGGCATAACTAAATGTCCCCATTGGAATAATTACAAGACTTTCTACCAAATGACTTTAAGTTCTGATATCAATATGATATCAGAAAAAAAACTGTTCTTTACCATCATCATATACAGGATCAATAAATCTCTGGAATGGTTGGTTAGTTGATCCCCAGGTTGGCCAGCGAGCATTGTTGCAACTTCCGTCCATTGTCCGGTAGCGGGCGTCTTGTTTGCAGTCGATAGAGCGCCGTCTGTAAAAGTGAATGATGTTATCAAGCCTTTAGTCCAATCATAATTGGTGTAAGTATCAACTACATTGAACTCTCACATACAAACGAAGGTGTCAATATATGTGAGAATTAGAACATAACTGACCTGATGGTGTGTTTGTCTTGATACTTGGATGTGCTGATGTCGTCTAAAGAGATCTGAGACGTCTCGGCGGCGTCAGCCAGTGTACAAACAACATACTTGTCTTCGCCATCACCTACGTCAAAGTAAAGGCATCAACACACTGCTTACTATCATGGGACAATTTCAGTGTCCTTTAACTTCGGAAGTCGCAACATCTGAACTAGTTGATGTTTTAAATTGTATAATGATGTTTTTATCAGCAAAATATTTGTTTTAGATAATCGGAATTAGTCATCGATATGTCGAATATGCAATAAATCCTCTGAAACGTATGAGTATAAGTATGATCAGATTTGTCAGATAGACAAATCATGGATAGTGATGCCGATAATGTAGGACAATGCAGGAGTCTGAACGTGATGTCCAGTAGTATGTTTTCTCTCATCTTCCCGAGGCAAGAGAGTTAACTGACTTTAAATGTCCAGTTTCCTCCCTTGCCGAACTAGGCTTGAATATCACTTGCCTTTGTTTCAAACAAAACGGTGGCGCCCAGTCAAGACGATCTGGTCGATAATCAAGATCTATATTGTGATAAAACGAGTCTTACATTGCGAAGTGCATCAAATCACGTGAGCACCTTGATTAAAAACATGAAAAGATTAAGAAAATATCTGTTGACAACGAGTTAGCTGTGCACATGCTTTGCAAATCCTGCAGTCGACCGAAATCTGCATGACACTCTACTAACCGGATTTCGATTTCGGTGCACTATTTTGATTGGACTATGCATAGACTCGTTAGTCCAGCCAAAATGTAACTCCATAATACCAGCCTAGTTCGGCAAGAGTGGAAACTTGACTTTTATTGACAACATTACTCTCTCCAACAAATGTGTACCCCGTCTCATCTCACTAAATATAATATCCGGACACTAAAGCATTCAAATTATATTAGTAAAATTGATATCACAAAATGTACGTTACTACATTGAATAACTAAGTACAATAGTAAGTAGAAAGGTTGTCATGTTTAGAACTGGTGTCTCTTTATTTTAGCATGTAACATGATGCCAGTTGCGTAAGTTATACCCAAGCAGAGGTGTATTATTCCATCCTTCACTATTGCTTGTCAAGATTTGTTTCACTATTTTTAAAACACTATACTCACGTTGCTTAATCACGGAATTGATGTTGTTAACCTAAAAAGAAATGAGTGAAAATAGGTTAAATTATCAGCCAAGGGTAAAACAGATGTGATAATTTCCAAAAGAGTAAGCTTCCTGTTGCTTTTTAAGACCTCCTCTGCGGTAGTCGCTACCGCACTCTAGTGGGCGGAGCTTATACGCGTGATCTGACAGGTCAATATGACGTCATGATGACACACGAATTTCATTGGTTAATGCGTAAACGGGAGACGTCATGTAAACACCCATCCACGTGGGCCGTTTGACAACAAGGACGTAACTTTTAATAGTAATAAATATCCATCAAACAATTCCAAGACTTTTCATCAAACACGTAGGTCTTTATTTTCAAAACCTACCTACCATGTCGTCTTCACATCTTCATTAAATGATACCGTGGAATGAAAACATTATATTATTTCACGTCGCAATGAAGATAAAAATATTTAAATACGGACAGCCTCATGTACTTCGAAACGATGTTCAGATAAATGTTTGTTCACATTACTACTGTTACGTGTGTGAAAATGGATTTCAAAATCATTTTCATCAAGCTTATTCAGGTCGCTGGCTACACAGATCATCCTCTCTTGTAAACTACTTCGGCATTAACACATGTTTTGTCTCGAAGCTCAAAGCAACAATGTTTCTCTCAGATACATTTTTTCTCCATCCATGACGAGCATCTGTCATAATGCCAATGCCTCAACAATCTTCCTGGTCAGTTGAATTCAACAACGTAATACACACGGCTATTTGCGGGCTATTTAAAGTCAAGGTGGGGCTTCAACATGATGAGAGAAAGCAGTTTTTTAGAAGCATAGGTCCATAGTAAGAAATTACATGATATTTCTTATATATACTGATTTTCTACAGACATTCATCAATCGCCAGTTAAATACTTACACTAATGATGAGAAGAAAAATGCAAAGAAAACGTAGAAGAAGTCAGTGAAACACATTTAGCTACATCTGTAAAATCATCGGATCTACTGATAGATAGTTACTGTTCCAAGTTAGAATGTTTTAGAGACATAGAGAATGTTTTGGGGCAGGCATTGCGGTCTTTTTTCGTGATTCGTTGAGTGTTAAACATAGAATAGATTTAGAATTACACAATTATGAAATAATGTGGTTCCAAATATATCTGCCTCAAAAGATTTTGTTATTGTGTGTTACTTATCGCCCGCCAAACATCCCTACATCATAATGGGATTATCTTGACAACTCAGTGGAAACAGCTCTGGACATTTCATCAAGTACAGCTCTAATTGGAGATCTTAACGACGATTGAATAACAATGTACACCACCTTCACGATATAATGGTGAGTAAAGATCTACGTAATCTCATTAAACACGCGTATTGCACAAACCTCTGCTACTCTGATTGACCCTATTGTTACAAGCCAGGACAGCGAAACTGTAGAAGCCGGCGTTTTAGACTTTAGCGTCGATATCAGTGACGACAAGTGGTTTTTTGTCACTCTATCCAATTGTGTCAACTTAACAAAGTCCTATGTAAGAGATGCTTTACTTTACAAGCAAGGTGATTATCAACGACTAAACCAGTTTATTGTTTCCACATATTGGAGGAGCAATCTACATCAGAGACAGACTCAGAAATACGATAAAATTATCCTGCAAACCAAATGACTTTCTAAGGTACAAAAAAACAAAACACTGTCAATAATCTCCGAAAACAAGCAAAAGAGGACTTTCATTGTAACTTAGATGTGGTTTTATCAACTGTATCAAAAGAAAATAACTCCAACTATTGGAAATTACTTAGATTATTCTGAAGGATTCTGGAACTACAACAATACCCACTTTGGTCACTGATGTTTCAAGTATGCCACCCGCTTTTTCAGATTCCAAAATAAACATTTCAGTTCAGTCACAAATATCAATAATTGTAACCATGTGTTACCTGATACTTATAACAAATGTGATGCTATCCATCAAGATTTTCATGTTGAACATAAAGAGATAATCGATTTGATAAAGTCACTTCCAGTAAACAAGGCTAGTCGTCCAGATAACATTAATCATCGCTTATTAAATCATATTGACCATGCAATAGCAAAATATTGTTCAATTTGTCTGTGCTTAAGCACGAATTTCCACACTTATGGAAATTGGCATATGTCATTCCTATATATAAGAAAGGGGATAAAACTTCACCTTACAATTATAGACCTGTATCACTACTATCATGTTTCAGTAAGATTCTTGAGCGACTCGTTTTCAAGAGGTTGTATAATCATCTTTTCGGTCATAACTTGCTGTGTAAATACCAATCAGGATTTGTACCAGGACACTCAACTACCTTTCAACTACATACATGAATAATTTTGCATGGATTTCTGTGACATTTCTAAAGCACTTGACTGAGTTTGGCAGAGGGGGTCAGTTTTTGACGTTACATTGTTATTTTTTAGTTATATTAATGACATATGCTATGAAATGAGAATAGTAAAAGGATGAACTAAAATTTCCTCCCGTCGCAGCCTATATCACGAAACTGGATGGCAGCCTTTAGCGTATAGAAGAAACGTCAACAAACTTGTAACTATGTATAAAACAATAAATAAGCAATGCCCTTCGTATAAAACTGATCTTATACCACCACCTGTGTTACAGAACGTCAATTATAATCTCAGAAACCGCCGTGATTATGTAGTACCATTTGCACGGATATCTACGTTTAAAAGGTCTTATGTTATAGATACATTAGGTCAATGGAATAATCTACCATCAGAAATAAGGGATAGTTCGTCAATATCTTCTGTCGCATCTGAGCAGCCTACATCACCACCTATGCACTATAATTGCGGTAAGAGATATACAAACATATTGCACACCTGATGGAGACACATTTGTAGCACACAAAATTCCGACCTGTTTCGTTTTATCTTATCTGATACTATTTACTGTAAATGCGGAGCTCCTTGTGAAAATACATTCCAGTTCTTCTTCGAATGTACCTTATATGATGATTTTAGGGAGACATTACTGACAGCTATCGATAATCTTGAAAGACAAAAAACTCTACATATTACTCTATTTGGTCACCCAAACCTAAATGGTTTCCTGAATACAAAATATTCTTGTCTGTACACAAATATATAGAAACGACTCACAGATTCAGTAGATAGCATGTTATTGTTTCCAAATTGTTAATCATTAGTATTGTTAAATCTATATGTAAAAACTAAAATATATAATATTTGCATATGAATGAGATGCACACTGTCTTCACTTTCCAGCACATTGTACATATCCTTTATATGAGCACTGAATCAATATTGCGCACAATGTTTTAACAATGTCAAGCTTCAATTGTAAATTGTGAAATACTAGTATTATGTTTAACTGCATATAGGGAGAATGCGGTAATAAGTGTTGCACTTGTGCCCAATCCCTTTGCCTTTTGGGACAATAAAATATCATGTTAATAATAAGAAGAAGAACAAAAAAACGGCCTACCTCTGTGTCCGCCTCGCCAGCAATGACCACGGTCAACATACACACAAACAACACAACTTTCATAGTTTCTGCTTCTGTCAAGGACAAAGTGGGAAAGTATGATACACCAAAGATGGGGCCTTGTATATATACTCATATTCCTGGATTAAGTCAACACAGATTACCCTAGAATTCGCTCTCGCCTGGTGGGCATAATCCGACATATCTACATGTTGGAGCTGAACATCTTGGATTATGTCGACGTAGGCTGATTATCCCGGAACAACAATAACGAGGCAGTTGGTAAACTGTTTCTCATCAGGGGGTATTATTGACATGTGTTGTTAAGATTATATATCATAGTAATATATGAATAATAACTGAAACGGGAGAAAGTGTATGGTTCTTGTTATTTGACTAAAATACCAATAAAATAATTCATATCTCGCACAATCTCTTATGAACTTCTCCACAAAATATGTCACGTGACCCTTCCCTTGAGATATGTAGTTCCTTTAGCTTGAATATCACAAGGAAACTGGAGAAAGTGTATGGTTCTTGTTAATTTGATTAAAATACCAATAAAATAATTCATATCTCACACAATCTCTTATGAACTTCTCCACAAAATATGTCACGTGACCCTTCCCTTCAGATATGTAGTTCCTTTAGCTTGAATATCACAAGGATCTAATTAGTATATTCACTTTAACTTGCTTTTGTAACTGTTATCGTTCTCATAATATACTTTGAGGACATATTTTCAATACACCATCTCTTTCTAATTCCGTAAGAGGCGACTAACAGGAACGTATGGTCAGGCTCACTGACTTAGTTCATGCATGTCATCGTTTCCCATTTGCGTAGGTCGATGATCATAATGTCAATCACTGGCTTGTCTGGTCTAGACTAAGTATTCAAGAAGTAGTAGTAGTAGTAGTAGTAGTAGTAGTAGTAGTAGTTGTGGTAGTAGTGGTTTGTTGTTTTAGTTTTAGTAGCGCTGTTGCAGTAGTGGTATCTAATATGTGTCTCAAGTATCACGTGCCTTTGTCATCTGCCAAAGTTTCGCTTTTCAGTACTCGATAAAACAAACTGACTGCTGCATGTATCAACGCTCACAACCAGTACAAACTTTCTACAATTATTATCGAGATATTTATGTACCACATAAAATGTACGACTCAAATTCGTGTTTATTAGTACCTGTACAATTAACAATTACATTCAATTGTCAGGTCCTGTTAACAAATGAACGATAATGGAAAAATAGTTTCAAAAGTTGACTCTATGTGTATTATTTCATTATATGCAGGGACTAGAAAATCCTCTAGACACAAAACGTAGCAACAACTGGAATGTGTGTGTCTCCCAGCACTTGTCTACAAAGCTTTCGAGAACAACTCGTGATGAGAAGCGGATTACCAACGGTCTCAGTATTATTATACCCCTCTTTGAACAATTACAATTGATGACGACACGCCCAGATCAACACCATTCATTGATATAATCCAGGAATTGTGGTGAAAACAAGATGTAAACTTATCACGGATTATCATCAGCGTCAGTGGATTACGGGATAATCTGTTTTTGTTTATATGGCAAACATGGTTGTCCAAATATGTAAGAACCATGCCCGATCTATCCACCCGCATATGTCAACTATTAATACAATCATTGCTTCGTTGAGTAACCTACATGTGCATCTGAATGCTTCTAAAGCACGTTCAGTGCGTTTAATGTATTTAATGTATCTTTTATCTTTTATGTTTGTTTCATATATATAAGCACTATCTGGGTGAAAAGACATATATGCATGTATAGGAAGTACTGTCGAGGATAATGTGTACTATCATTCGCGTATGGGAAACATGATCTGTGACAATATCAAGAATATAGATATAAAGGAAACACTTTCTGTGACAATGTAAACTACATTGTATATACACGTCTGTGCGACAATGTGAACTATCTGCATTTGTAGGAAGCACTGAAAGCGATAGTGGGAAGTATATACATGTACATTTATAGAAAGCACTGTCTGGAATAATGTGAACTATTTGCGTGTGTTGGAAGCACTGACGGCGAAATGGGAAGTGTAATACGTGTATAGGAAGCACTGTCTGGGACAACGTGAGCTATATACCTGTATCGGAAGTACTGTATGGGACAATGTGATCTATACACATACAGGAGGCACTGCTCGGAACAGTGAGATGTATATGAAACATGTATTGTTAGAAACAATATGTATCTAGAACCTTGACACTATGCCATGATACCAAACATTAACACAAATGTGAAACGTATCAATGTGCTAATCAGCCTACCAAACGATAGATGAATGCGCGAAACCAAGAAATTAAGAGATCATGAATCAGAAATACAAAAGAGAACGTGTTTATTAAAAAACGGTTGTAAAATTAACAAATACAATTGAATGTGATATATGATAGAATACAAGTATTGTTCAATATTGTTTCTATTGAACATCATTTATACATTTTCAAATGTTTAAGTTGGTTGGTTGGTTGGTTTGTTGTTTAACGCCGCAATCAGCAATATTACAGCAATATGAAGGCGGTCTGTAAATAATCGAGTCTGGACCAGACAATCCAGTGATTGATATCATGAGCATCGATCCACGCAATTGGGATCGATGACATGCATCAACCAAGTCAGTGAGCCTGACCACTCGATCCCGTTAGTCGCCTTTTACGACAAGCATAGTCACCTTTTTACGGCAAGCATGGGTTGCTGAAGACCTATTCTACCCCGGAATCTTCACGGGTCTAAATTTTTAAGCACGACATCAACAATATATATATACAATATCATACAATGACAAAGAATAAAATACACCTCCTTCATAGATCTATGAAATAGTGCAAGTCAAACATGTAGAATATGTTTATGCCCCTGACAAATATATTATACAATGCCATAAACATACACTGCCAATATTAATGCAACTTGTATACTGTGATTAAACGCTTTGATGATGTGACTGGTGGATTCACTCACTTAATTGGTTACCAATTTGTTTTGTTCTCATTAAGTGTAGGCATTATAATCAGGTATAATGTTAACTGACATTTCAGTTAATAATTCCAGCATTATTAGTGAAATGCCATACCCAAATGTTCTTGGCATTACATATTAACTATGAAGACAACTGAACAAAAATGTCAAAAATGTAATGTACTCTGTGATTTATGCATCTTACAAACCAGGACTAGTAGTGTGGGATATACGTGTTGGAACACCTCACACGCATAAAATCTTGTGTTTCAAGTAATCGGGTTCATTGTTGAACCTAAGGGCAGGCCAAGCAACTTCTCATCTCCGCCATTTGGTTAAATCGATTGTTGGAAGATCGTTGCAGGGTATCATGGGATTGCTGTAAAATACAAAAATTGTGTCATCCCATTAAGATAGCAACATTTCCGTGAGCATACTTCATGTGATCAGGTTTGACATTCGTATCCTATATAACTGAATGAGCCTGAATATGTTACATTCAAAGTGTGTCACGAGTTGTAAATGGATCCAGGATACAATTCTGATCAATGTTCACTAAATGAAGTACGCCAGATATACCCTGTCGCATGTTAATATGAGTTCTGTCTGTGTGAAATAATTAATTACTGACAAATGATGAAGCTAGATGTCTTCATTGCCTACCTTTCTTTTGAGTACACCGTAAAAGGATCTCTTTGGATGGACTTCACTCCTGAATTCCTACAAAGAATTTTGGCAAAGCGCATTCGTCGGATCTCAGACAGTTGTCCTGAAATAGAAAATGTCATTATTATTTATATGTACAATCACTTCGGAAAACAAGAGAGTATCTTTCCACACTATTGTCAGTGAAACAGCAAAACATTTTGATGCATTGAATGAAACGTCACACAAACAATATTGTATAGCGTTTTCATCTTAAAGGTATGTTAAGTTATCTAATAAGTACATATTTTGACATAAAACAAATATGTTAACAAACCATACAAGCACGCAGAAATACAAACAGATTTGACAGTACCTGATGTAAAGCCCTTTCTTGGATGAGATGTTTCGAACCAGAATGAGTCGCCATATTTCAGATCATGAAACTGTTGACCAATCAGACAAGCGAGGAGTGGGCCCACTGCTCCGCCATGCACGTGTTGTTCAGCTACTGCACCGGTGAAGACGTCGATGTCATCAGGGGATCTGAAGCAAGAATACATAAACGTAAGGAGATCTTGAGAAATGTCAGAGAAGAGTTAAAGTATCTTTAATCTTTGTTACACTAATTCTGTTCACATATAAGAGTAAATTAAATTACACAAACCTGTATACACTTTTCAAAGCAGGTCCTGCTTTACCAAATACACTGTCATCAAATGAAGTCACTTCCGATAGCTGGCATGCCTTGCGGAAGTTGTTGTATGATGGCAGGCCATGGTCACGACCTCTCTGAATGTTTAAGGACACGATGTCAAAGCCGTTATTTCCCGACGTCTCAAACAAATGCTCAGTCATCCCACTGTTGATGAAGCGGTTAACCTCCTGATGTCTGTCCTTGAGGATAGCCTTCAGCACGGTGTCCAGATCTTTGATGACTTCAGAAGGTCTGTTGAAGAGCTGTTCTATTGGTACATGTCGATCTCCGAGGGTCAGGAAACGTGGAATGGTGGAGTGGCCGTATCTGAAGGCGGCGGTGGCAAAGACGTTGTAGATGGTGGGGTTTTGGGTGATGTTGTACCTGAAGCTGAAGCCAGGGGTCAGTCTGTACTTCCTCATGGCCAAGGGCCCAACAATAATGGGCAGCCATTCGCGGTAGGTGACTTGTTGGATGATGGCTGACACGATCTTTCTGGCCTCCTCAAACAAGACATCATCAGGAGTGGTCGATGGCATGACATCAGCAAGTTCTTTGACAAGACGATTGTGTTCTCGGACAAACACGGTGTGTAGCACGGCCAGACCAGGGAACACGTTCACACGGTCGTCACCTAATGATGAAGTTAGTTATAAAGAAGTTGTGACAATGTTGTGAAATGAATTATCCATATCATTTCAAGTACTTTATGAACAGACTCTGAAAATATTACTTCGAATACATTAATAAGTTGTATTTACCAGCTTCAAAACACCATTCGTTGGTATTTCTTGTTCGACAGTTGCCTTGGTTGGATTCTGGCAACAGATTATCTCCCTTGATTTTCAAGAAGGCTGAAAAGTTGAATGACGACATTAATTTGTATGTACAAATTACTCTCTGGGGTATTCTGTCAAAATGTTACATATTTCTTTTATCACAAATTATAATTCATTGCTAAATATTGCCTGACTTACGTCCGTTCCTGAGGTGATTGATCTGATCCTGACTGAGGCCGTACACGTTAGAAGCGTCCACGAAGGACGTGAGTAGGTTCAACTGTTCTCGTGTATCTGGAAGTGACATGGTTTTCAATTAAACATGGGTATTATCATACAGTGATGTTTATGGCTTCGTTACTTAATACGTTGTGTTAGAAAGAACAGATAAATAATGACTGAACAACCCAATATTGAGATGAGGTAACCTTCACAGCTTAGTATTCATATACTCACTCCTTCCAGGTGCTGGGGCTGATCTTTTAAACTCCATGCAGTTCTTTTGGAAATGTCCTTCATTTACTGGCATGGTGATCGGGAAACAAGGGCCGCTGGAACAGCGAAATAGCAAAAGAATTGACATGTTTTCTTGTTCCAATCAAACGTGGTTATGATAATGCTTATGATATGTTATGATGCACAAGCACATGTATGTGATGTACTCGGGATCTTACAGTAGAGGTTTATGATGATGGAAAGGGTTTTTTCTCTTTCATCCTAATTATAATAATGTCTACAATGCCACGTAATTTCAAAGTCTGTTCTTTATTTTAAATATGAAGACCAGTAATTTCGATTACCCGAAACAGAATGATTAAGTGTGGAAAATATAGAATGTTGATTGCTTACCCAGCTTGTACATCAGAATGCATCTCTCCTGCTGTGTGACCATCGCAACATTTGGAGTGAACATCACCTTGAAAGAATATGAGGATTTGTAAAGTTTAAAGGATTACAAAAACAAATATATCACAGTTTGTCTGATTTCAACATCACACTTCTGGTCACTTTGATAGTCAGAGAGTTTTGGCCACTTGGCACCTACCTGCATGGAGAGGAGTTCCGGTGAGATCATGGTCCACAAACTGCCCCCACTGCATCACCATCACTGTGTGGTCGTCAGAAGGACTGTCAACTCCCGGATGTACGGCCACACTGATGGCACGTGGACTGGGAAGGGGATACCCATCAACGCCTCTCATTCGGGGAACGAACTTGCCTGGAAAGCCAAACCTTTGCTTTAATAGTTCCCTTGCGCATAGTTAGTTGTGATATTGAAAGGGCATAACTAAATGTCAATGGAATAATTACAAGACTTGCTATCAAACGGTCTGGTTTATTAATTAATTGCCATGGTTATTAGCATGAAATAATGATTTTTAAGTTCTTATATCAATATGATATCAGAAGAAAACCTGCTCTTTACCATCATCATATGCAGGATCAATAAATCTCTTGAATGGTTGGTTGGTGGATCCCCATGTTGGCCAGCGAGCATTGTTGCAACTTCCGTCCATTGTCCGGTAGCGGGCGTCTTGTTTGCAGTCGATAGAGCGCCGTCTGAGAAAGTGAATGATGTTATCAAATCTGATGGTAATTGGTGTCGGCATCAACTAAATTAAACTCTCAACCACAAACGAAGGTGTCCATAGATGAGAATTAGTACGAAACTGACCTGATGGTGTGTTTGTCTTGATACTTGGATGTGCTGATGTCGTCTAAAGAGATCTGAGACGTCTCGGCGGCGTCAGCCAGTGTACAAACAACATACTTGTCTTCGTCATCACCTACGTCAAAGTAAAGGCATCAACACACTGTTTACTATCATGGGACAATTTCAGTGTCATTTTACTTCGGAATTCTTATCAAAGGTCCCAACATCTGAACTAGTTGATGTTATAAAGTGTATAATGATGTTTGAAGACGCGTATCAGCAAAATATTTGTTTCAAATAAATAGAATTTGTAATCGGTGTGTCTCATATGCAATAAATCCTTTGAAGTATACACATATAAGTTATATTGTTTCAAAACAAAGTGAGTATCTAAAGCATGGTATAATGCTTCACAATATAATGAAAACTGGACTAAAGTAGCGACCAATTCAATGTATTTACTGACAATAAATACAGTATGATCAGATTTGTCAGTTAAACCAATCGCCAAATCATGGATAGTGATGCCGTTAATGTTGAACATTAAACTTCTTACCATGCAGGAGTCTGAACATGATGTCCATTATTCTGATTTCTCTGTCCAGCGTTTGTCCTTTAACTGTTCCTTGGTTGTCACCCCACGTCGTTGGTGAAGTTTGTGTCGCACCAGCAACATAATCTCATAGGTAAGTAAGTAAGTTTGAACATCAGCATAGAGTAATAGGGCTGTCATAGATTATGAATGCAATCGAAAAAACATTCATACTCCGCCACCCTATATTTTCTTCTGTCTAGTTGTGTTAAACCGGATATGTGAAACAATCTGGCAGTATCAAACCAAGTTAAGAAGATTTCATGTGCATCGTTCAGGGTATATCCCAAACCATATTTACTCATCTTATGTCTGTATATCTTTTTCAATCTTAGAATTCAAGACAACATTATTTTCTCCAACCATCGTTACATCAAATGTGTATCTCGACTTGTAACAATGTACCCGGTGTGAACTTACTGTTCGTTTTTGACAAATCAGTGACATCGTCAGGGAATTTCTTGTTGGTCTCACGGTCCATTCCAAACAGATCTGATTGTATTGCCTGGACTGAAGGAAAGGTAGTTTACTTAAAAAGCTCAGCTAAACAAAATATAATATCTATACTTTAATGCATTCAAATTATATTTAGTAAAATTCATTTAAAAATTTACGTCACTACATTGAAGGACTAAGCATAATAGTTAGTAGAAAGTTCGCATGTTTAGAACTGATATCTCTTTATTTCAGCATGTAACATGATCCCAGTTGCGTGAGTTACACCCAAGCAGAAGGAACTAAAATAGTATTATTCGATCCTTCACTATTGCTTGTCAAGATTTATTTCATTATTTTTAAAAGACTATACTCACGTTGCTCAATGACGGAATTGATGTTGTTTACCTATAGGGAAATGAGTGAACATCGGTTAAATAATCGGTCTAGGGTAAAACAGATGTGATAATTTCAAACACCATTGGTCACCCATAAGTTTGAACATGATGAGAGAAAGCAGTTTTAGAACCATAAGTCCATAGTAAGAAATTACATAACATTTCTTATATGTACTGATTTTCTACAGACATTCAATGGCCAGATAAATACTAATACCGATAATGAGAAGAAGAATAAAAAGAAAAAGTAGAAGAAGAACCCAAAAACAACCTACCTCTTTGTCCGCCTCTCCAGCAGTGACCACGGTCAACATACACACAAACAACACAACTTTCATCGTTTCTGCTTCTGTCCAGTACAAAGTGGGAATGTCTGATACACCAAAGATGGGACCGTGTATTTATACTCATATTCCTGGATTAAATCAACACAGATTACCCTTTAATTCACCCTCCCCTGGTGGGTATAATCCGACATCTACATGGGGGAACTAAACATTTTGGATTATGTGGAGGCAGGCTGATTATCCCGGAGCAGCGTCATCACCTCCATTGTTCTTGGTGTGGTGTATAAACACCAATAACGAGGCAGTTGGTAAACTGCTTCTCATCAGAGGGTATTATTGACATGCATTGTTATGATTATATGTCATAGTAATGTAAAACTAAGAACTGAAACTGGAGAAAGTATAAGTTTCTTGTTAATTGACCAAAGAAACTAATAAAATAATTAATGTATCCAACAATCTCTAAGGAACTTCTCCACAAAATATGTCACGTGACCCTTCCCTTCAGATATGTAGTTATTTTAGCTTGAATATCACAAGGATCTAATTAGTATATTCACTTTAACTTGCTACTGTAATTTTAATCGTTTTCATAATATACTTTGAGGACATATTTTCAATACACCATCTCTTTCTTATTCCGTAAGAGGCGACTAACAGGATCGGATGGTCAGGCTCGCTGACATAATTGATGCATGTCATCGTTTCCCTTTTGCGTAGATCGATGATCATAATGTCAATCACTGGATTGTCTGGTCTAGACTCGATTATTTACAGACTGCCGTCATATAGCTTGAATACTGCTTAGTGTGGTTAATTCATTTTTATTTACACAGAGAAGTTTTCAAGTAGTAGTAGTAGTAGTAGTAGTAGTAGTAGTAGTAGTAGTAGTAGTAGTAGTAGTAAAAATAGCAATATCCAATATGATCAAAATGTCAATTACAGGAATGTCTGGCCTGGACACGAAACAACAAATCAAACAAGCAAATCTTTCCTATTCATTTGTATTCACGCAGCTAGGTTTTCAAGTAGTAGTAGTAGTAGTAGTAGTAGTAGTGTAGTAGTAGTAGTAGTAGTAGTAGTAGTAGTAGTAGTAGTAGTAGTAGTAGTAGTAGTAGTAGTAGTTTGTTGTTGTTTTAGTAGTGGTATCCAATATGTGTCTCAAGTATCACGTGCCCATGTTATCTGCCAAAGATTCGCTTATCCATACTCGATGAAACATACATACTGACTGTTGCATATATCAACGTTGACAACCAGTACTAACTGTACATAAAATGTACGACTGGACTTCGTGTTTATGATTAAGTGGAACATTTACGATTACATTGAATTGTCAGTTCCTATTAGCAATATCGATGATGGACAATTATTTTCAAAAGTTGACCCTGTATGTATTATTTCATTACACGCGGGGACTAGAAAATCCTCCAGACACAAAACGTGGTAACTATTTCAATGTGTCCCAACACTTGTCTACAAAACATGTCAAGAACAACTCCTGATGAGAAGCGAATTACCAATTGTCTCAGCATTATTATACCACTCAATTACAGTTGATGACGACACGCCCACATCAACACCATTCATTGATATAATCCCGGATTTGTTGTGAAAACAAGATGTAAACTTATCACGGATTATCATCAGCATCAGCGGATTACGGGATAATCTGTGTTTGTTTATTCGGCAAACATGGCTGTCCAAATATGTAAGAACCATGCCCGATCTTTCCACTCTCATATGCCAAATATTAATACAATCATTGCTTCGTGGCGCAACCTACATGTGCATCTGTATCCCTCTATAGCACGTTCAGTGCTTTTAATGTATTTAATGTATCCTTTGATGTGAAAAGTTTGTATACTAATATACCCCATGATCTAGGACTTGAAGCAGTGCAATATTAGTTGAATAAGCATCCAGATGCAATTGACTGAAATTTCACGCATACGTTCATCATGGAATCTATGAAATGTATACTGGAGAACAGCACGTTCTATTTCAACAACAAGTTTTATCAGCAAATAAACGGAACAGCCATGGGAACAAAGTAGCACACACATACGCCACTCTGGTAATGGGATACTTAGAAGAAATGTTATATTCCAAAGCAGATTATTTGGTGGATGTAAATACAGCTAAACATATTCAAACAGACAGACAGACAGAAGTTTATTCAATATTTTAGGCCATATGACCTATAGTACAGAAGTGGGGTTTGTTTTGTATCAACATTGTACAGTCACGTGAAGGTAATAATAAGTTTACATATGATATTAATGTCTAATTTCAAAAATCTTCTTCAGGAATATTGACAGAGATGATATTGTAGTAGCATTGCGGGAGTTCAACAAATTTTCCATCAGCTGTTCATCTTTGTACATAGTTGAAATCATAGGGAGGTATCTATTTCTAAGAAACTGATAATACAAATGAGAAGTACATGGAACTCATCCTCAACATAGCTTTCATTACAATAACGGCATAAACTACTTTCTTTATCTTGTACATTTTTCTTTCTGAGATTATTAACATTAAAATTATGTAATGATATACGTAATATACACAAAGATCTTCTCAAAGTTCTATCCTGAAGTACAGATACATATTTTTCAGGAACAAGTAATGATTTTATATTCGTATAATGGCATAAAAACCTTGAGGATGATATTTGACAGTGCCAATCTTGTGAAAATATATCAAGTAATCTTTGCTTAAGCATGAAGATAAATAATTTAGCATTTCCAACACCTTGAGATATCCATGCAAGAGAAAAACCAGACAAACAAAGAATATTCCTGATATCAGACACCCATAAACAATATTTACCATT